TATATATATATAGATACGCTTGTTTCTTCGTTAAAAAGACCACTTCGCGCCGCTAAGGGTGGGAATGGAAAATATTCTCCCCGTCCTCCCTTGAAGGCGAGGCTGTCGAGATTTATTTTTCTCTCTCCGCTCGAAACATGCATACAATTTTACCGTCCCTGCCAAGCTTTTACATAAACAACTATTCTTTTTTTTTCTCCCCCTCTTACATCCTCCGGCCCCTTCGCGACTTCTTTCCTCTTTCTCGTCCGTTTTGCTTGCAACGCCTCCATTACTTAAGGAGAAGTGCACCACTTGGTGTACACGCGTAGGTGTGTATTACACGACACTCGGTCGCACCCGAGGAGGGAGGGAGCGTGTTGTGTACTTAGCGAAAATTAAACCACACGCGACCTCCCGGACTGCAGGCTCTCTGGACCTCCGCGGCGGTGGGTCATGCTTCCAAATGTGGCCCCAACTCCATTAACGATACGCGCCATAAAATTGAGCGATGTTATGTATATAATGTGCAGGTGATAAAAGACTCGATGTTGGCCGATGAAAAAACAAGGAAGCCTTACCCCATACGCACGTGTATGGATACCATTAGCAAACAAGAGAGGAGATAACTTTGGTGTTGTTAAGAAAAATAAAAATCTTGGTTTCCGTAACGACGTATAGGAAACAAAAAAAAAAAAATCAAGGCTCCACGCAGCGCGTAACAATATCCCTTGGACGATAAACTCTTCCTTTACCCCATTAGAAGAGCGTTCGTTTGTGTAGCTCCCGTAAAATGTATACAAGCAAATGAAAGAGAGTATATATATATATATATGTATACATAGCCGTAGAGGAACGCGCCGATACCCATTTAAGCGCATTTGTGTATATATGAGATAGACCGCGGTCGAACAGACTGGTCGGAGGGGTATAGCCTTTTCCGTAAGTATGTATACATCTATCTGCGCGCCGCAGCATCAGCAAAGGGGCATTAAAAGAAATCTCGCTCCATTAGGCCCTTCCCCCCCCCCCCCGACGTCTACAGTATGGGGCAATATAATTTAGCATCCCGACGACTATACTTTCCAGCCATCGGGAGAACACAAACCACATCGCCGCAGCTCCACAGAGAGCCGTGCCATGGTACTTTACCAGTATAGTACATGTATATATGTAGTATGGACTCCTATTCGCGAATAGGTCGGTTTTATCTCCGCGGAGCTTCCCTCGCTTTTGCTTCATCTCTGGCAGGCACGAGCCGGAGCTCCCGTAAATGCCCCCCCCCCCTGCAAAAGTGTGTGCAGTAGTACAGGTTACGGGGGCGTACGGGACTGCCATATACCTGTATGGGTATGAGAGAAGGAGCGCTCCCGCAAAACGACGGCCATAAGCATTAAATTCCCCGATGGTAATGAAGGATAGGGTCGTTTAGACAATGAATACCTACTCTCCCTCTCCCTCCCCCCTTTCCCTCGCGTAATTAGCGCGCAACTGTACCATGTATACGTATATCTATACTTTCGCGTATGTGCGTAAATCCACTCTACGGCTCGAATGCACCCTGTATCGTCAATTTTTCTTTTTTTTTTCCCACGTGTAGGGAGGTCGGTGGTGGAGTTAAGTTCACCCCTCTACCCTCCTTTTTTTCCTTCCCAAACTCTCGCTTCGCGTTTTTCACCCATCTGCACCGTACGTGTATATATCTATAGGTACACCCGAGCTTTTCATCCGTACATATATATATATATATATATATATATATATATATATATGTATACAAATTATTCAACCATTCAATGTTGAGTCCCTGGATTCGTTGTTAAGTTTTTGCTGCTTTTTGACTATTTCATTATCGGGCTCAATTACCA